TATTACTTTTGAGAGAGAGAAAGACAGAGAGCAAGCAGGAAAGGGGCAGAGAGACACAGAATCCAAAGCAGGCTCCAGGCTGTGAGCTGCCAGCACAGAGCCTGACCTGGGGCTTGAACTCATGAATGGTGAGATCATGACCTGAGCTGAAGTTGGCTGCTTAACCGACTGAGCCATCCCAGTGACCCTGAAATTATTTCTTTGATTTAACCAATTACAAATGGAAATAATCAGCAGTCTGGTTGGGGTCAGACCTTATAATAAGAATGTCGACACATAGAAAATAAAACTTGAAAATTCTGTGTCACTTTTCTTTCATCCTGTATTCTAGAGTGTATTAAATAGGAGTGGATTCATAAAATCTGATACATTGATGAAATTGTAGAGTTCTTCATACTGTGCATTTGAGTTGGAGAGTTTGAGTTCTGTTGCTGTTTATTAATAAACTATGAACCTAGATTTTGACCTGAAGAAACATTGAGTTACATATTCCAGTTTCCTGGCTCCTAGGAAGAGATTTGGAGCATATTTCAGTTTCAACTAATACATGTATTATACAAGTACAGAGTTTCAGCAGTAACCACAAGCACTGCCTATCCTCTCAGTGCTCATAATCTAGTAGGGGAGGTTATGTACAGCTGCCTTCATAGCAGAGAAGCACATGGGTGGGGGGGAAATGACGACAACTTCCCAGAAGAGACTAGATGGTGCTAGAACTGAATCTTAACAGTTTCCGGGCTAGTAGATAAGGGTTGTGGAAAGGGCATTCCAGGTAGAGGGAAGAATGTAAAATCCCAAAACTATGAGAAGAAGCAGCATAACCAAGGGGTTCTGCAAGCCGATGAGGACTGCTTGGGACACTTTGAACATGAGTGGGGTTCAGGTAAAGAAACAGGTGGAAATTATACTGTAAGTGGTGGCAGGTTACATTTTTAAAAGAGTATGATATAATTACATAATGAACTGTAAGGGGAAAGATTAGAGGGAAAGAGACCTGTTCAAAGACTGGTCCTAAGACAAACTGAGTAGGGTGAGGAAAAGAGGTTGGATAAATGATGTTCCAAAGTAGAACTCTCAGAGCTTGATACCAGGAGAGTGAGCAAAAGGGAATCATCTAAGAGTGTCTAGGTCTCTGACAGGTGAAGTTAATGTGGGTTCCACCTTGCACCTGTACAAGCCATCGCAAAAACCTCAAATATTTAAAATGCTTACATATACTCTACTTTTTTTGAGAGAGAATTTTAAGCACGCTCCATGCTCACCGTGGAGCCTGACGTAGGGATCAATCCCATGACCCTGGGATCATGACCTTAGCCGAAATCAACTGACTAAGCCACCCAGGCATCCCTCTTAAGATATTTTTCCTAATAATCTTGGTGTAAAACTTATGCTCCAGGAAGATGCCCAATATTTCTTCTATGACATATACACCTGTGAGCTTCTATGACAGCTATACACCTGTGAGATAAAAGTACATGTCCCCAGGGGCGCCTGGGTGGCGCAGTCGGTTAAGCGTCCGACTTCAGCCAGGTCACGATCTCGCGGTCCGGGAGTTCCAGCCCCGCGTCAGGCTCTGGGCTGATGGCTCAGAGCCTGGAGCCTGTTTCCGATTCTGTGTCTCCCTCTCTCTCTGCCCCTCCCCCGTTCATGCTCTGTCTCTCTCTGTCCCAAAAATAAATAAACGTTGAAAAAAAAATTAAAAAAAAAAAAAAAAGTACATGTCCCCAGTAAAAAATATTGGAAGATAACAGTGGAGAAGAAAAATGCAGAATAAGTGGCCTAATACTAAATAGCACAAAAGCAAGGTCGACCAAGAAATATTTACCAAGTTTACATTTCAGGAAAATACATTTAAAAGCATTCATCTCTTAAAAAAAAAAAAAAAAAGCTGAGAAGTTGGGAGAATGTGTGAGAAAGTCACAAGGGCACAATGACACCACAGGCTTAAAGAGGCTTCCCTCCTACTGTGGAGGATTGGGACATGTCCTTTCTGCCCTGGGGAAAGCTCCCTTTTGGGTCTAAGTGTCTACAGGCTCACTAATCATAAGCCTGTTGCTCAGCCACATAGCCTCTGGACTCCTGTCCCCTGTCCCTTGGCCTCCTTTCCACTGGCCTCCAAGAGACCCATATCTCCCTGATCTGGAGCAAATCCTTGTTGTCTCTCCTCCATCCACAGGACCCCTTTTTAATCCTTCCTGGTGGTTCCTTGCCATATTAACATGTTCAAATATTCCCCAGTCAGAAAACTGCACCCCTTAAGCTCCAATGCTTCCTTTGCCTCCAAGATTACTAGCTTCAGAGAACCCCTCAGACCAAAAGCCCAGTTGCTGCCCTGTCCCCTCCTGCCAGGGTAACAGACCTCCCAGGTACCCACCCATCCTGAGGACATTTCCCTCTTGGCCTCTGCAGATTCTTGCACAGTGCTCCCCTTAGTGGCTGGGGTCTCTCCTCCCTGTTTCTCCCCCTTCTCTCACTGTCTAGCTCCCTTTCTGCCTACCTTGTCTCGGTTGCAGTTTTCAAGGTTACATTTGCGGCTCTTTTACTCAGGATACACTTTCCCTAAACAGTGCCACCCGACCCACGCCTTTGTTTAAGTTGTTTTCTTGACCGGAGATATCCTCCCTTCCACTGGTCAACTCTTCCTTTGGGACCGCGCTATCGTGCCAGGAACTCGGCTCTGTCCTCCGCTTCACAGCCACCGCCGGTTACAGTCTCGCCTGTCCGTGTCCCCTTCCCGTCTGGTGAACCTCTTCATTTCAACACTTGACACACTGGAGCCAATTATTTCACATCCTGCCCCACTAGACTGAGTCGGCTTGACGACTGAGACGCGACGAGGGCCCATCAGTGTTGATATGAACAGGGAACAGGAACAATGTAGTCCCGAGACCACCAGATAACTTGAGTATGTTTTCATCTAGAATGTTTTTATTAAAGCGTTGCTTTGGGTTTGTTTTCGGTTTGAAAGGCAATGTATTTACATGGTACAAAGTTCAAAAGGTATTGGGGAGAAGCCTGAACTCAGTGTTACTCTTTTCTTGTGGATCTTTCCATGTACATTAAAGCCTTGCCCATGGTCCTCTAGCGCTGGACATTCAGCTCCTTTCGCTGGTGATTGTCTCGTAAAGCAGTCCTTTTCGCCTTCGCGCTCCTTTCTCGCAGCTGCAGGACCTCCTCGCGCCGGGACCGTGGGCCCTACTTCCTCTGGCGGCGGCGCCTGGCGCTGCGGCGGCCGCGCGCCCCGCCCCGCCCCAGCCTCGGCGGGCCTGGCCGGGGGAGGGGTCGCGGCGGCGGCGTCAGCGGCGGCCCGGGCGGTGGGAGCCCAGGCGCCAGAGCAAGATGGCGGCGCGAGTACTGCACGCCCGCGGAGCGGCTTGGGTCGGCGGTCTCCTGCGGCGGGCCCCCCCCTGCAGCCTCCTGCCAGTGCTCCGGTGAGCAGCGCCGCCCTTTCCGGGAGCGGCCGGGGAGGGGCCGCCGCGGGGCAGAGGGCGCGGGGTCCCCGGCACGGGTCTCCGCCCCGGCCCGGCAGCGCTCCCTCGGGGCAGAGCCGCAGGGGTTGCGGGGCGGCAGGGGCCGAGGCCGCTGTCGGCCGGGCCGGGCCAGGCGGGGGAGCCTTGGCGGAGTCAGAGCGCTTTCCCGGCGGGCCGGGCTCAAGGTCACGGCGGGGACGGCGCTCGGCGCCAAGGCCACGTCCGCCTGCCGTGCGGGCTCGGCCTTCGGGACCTTGACCCTGCGCGACCCGCGCGGTGGCGGAGGGCTGGCGCGCGGCTGAGGCTCCAGGCCCTGGACTCGGCCTCCGGCTTCTCGCGGGCGCCCAGAGAACGCTACGTGCCCGCGCAAAGCCTTGATGTCCGCATCTGCAAATGGCAGTAGAGATACTACTCACCTCTTTCTTAGGTTGTGAAGAACTAAAATAACGCGTTGTCCCGTCTGAACCTTCAGTGAAGCACAGGGGGAGTGGTGGGGAGGTCTCAGTGCTACGAACAGCCTTTGACTTGGGTTGAAAAGTAGGTAACGGATCAAAAAGTATGAACAGTTACCAGCGCTAAATAGGCGTTGGGTTCAAGTTTACACGTTTTTTCCTAACCTCATTGGATTAAGTATTCGGTTTGCTGAATTCATGCCTTTGATGTATCCATGTCCTATAGTCCATGTTCAGAAACCAAGCTCATAACTAATTTATACGTAGATTTGCTTTATTGTTTTCTTTACATTGGATAATTTAAACGTTTTCTGTTTGTGGTTAAATAATGAGCCTCTAGAAAATTCAGTTGTCAGTAAAGGAACTGCATGTTTGTTAAACTCTTACTGTGGGCCAGAGAGCTTATTTAATTTAACCCTAGTAGCAATTTTAAGAAGTAGCAGGATCTGCATTTTGCAGATGAGATGGAACCTCAAAGCAGGTGAGACACCTAGCTAGAAAAGGCATTTGACCTCAAGTTTGTCAGGCTTCAGGCTCAGCACCCTTCTTAGGACTGATGCCCAACTTGTATTTCCAAATTTGATGTTTATGTTTCCAGTTTGATTAACAAATCAACCTCCTTTTTTCTGTTGCTGAGCATCTACTGTGTGTCTTTTTTTTTTTTTTCCACACAGGTGATATGAGCCTGTGAAATTCATATTTTCTTCTTTCCAAAAAAGACCTCTGAGGCTGAATGTATTCACCCAAAAGACTCTAAATACTCTACTACTCTTGGACACTAAAGTGCCCAAGGTCACAAAGCTAGTAAACTGGAGATTTGGACCTGGGTCTGTCCAGTACCCCCACGTCCTGCTGGGGCCGAATGCTTTTGAATCTAAAGTCCTTATCTCTGTCCAGCCTGTTGGCTCTGGGATTACTTTCTCAAGCCCCCTGTACCGTTGGACCACTGCCCCTTCC